TATCTATCTATCTATCTATTGATATTATCTGTTGTGTTGTTAAGTGCCTTTGAGTCAGTTCCAACTCATAAAGTATATATATATAATTTGTTGTTGTGATGTGCCGTGGAGTCGGTTGCAACTCATAGCGCTCCGAAGCTGTAAATCTTTACGGGAGCAGATCGCCTCGTATTTCTCCCTCGGAGCGCCTGGTAGTTTCGAACTGCTGACCTTGCGGCTTGCAGCCCGATTCGTAACCACTACACTACCAGAGCTCCATATATATCTATATATCTATATAATATCAATATATAGCTGGTGGGTATATATATATGTATTGATCTATCTATCTATCTATCTATCTATCTATCTATCTATCTATCATCTCTCAATATTGTCTGTTGTGCTGTTAAGTTCCATTGAGTCAGTTCCAACTCACAAATATGCTGTCTATGATTTCTGAGGAGTGGCTGCTTGATTTTAACTGTCGACCTTGTGGTTCAAACAAGCCTCGTTGTCCAGTGCTTACCCTACAGCGATTATTGTGTAAGACTAACTTCTTCAAGGAAGACACATCCTCATTAGACTTTCTCTTCTTCCTTTATTCCACAGTCCCTTGGTTCCTGTAACACTTTTGTAAACCCATTCCCCTCTGACAAAGGATGTTGGCTGTCTGTGTATTGGTTTCTGAACTAGTTGCCCTTCAGTTAAATCTGAATTCCATAATGCACTGGAAGCCAGTGGTAGTTGGGTGATGCATGAATAAAGGTTCAGGTGGCTTTGTTGTTGTTGTTGTTGTTAAGTGCCGTCAAGTCGGTTCTGATCCATAGCGACCCTGTATAGGGTTTCCAAGAAGTGGCTGGTGAGCTTGAACCACCAACCTTGAAGTTCAAACTTTGCAGTCCAGCACATTAGCCCACAGCACCACATCAGAACTCCAAGGTGGCTTTAGGGTAGAGCATTTATAAGATAAATAGGTCTTTCATGCTGACAACTTTAACCTCGCCAATGGTATAGCTCTTTTGTGCTATTATACTAAAAAATGGGCCTCCCATCAATCTTTGCCTTCAGTCATGTTGTAAGCTTTCTTCTATCCATTATTCTAAATTTGACAAAACCTGGATCAAAAAGTAGGCAAGGAGTGAAATAAATACCATCCATGCACATACTAGTCTAATTATTTTATTTCCCTGCTTCTTAAGGTCCCTCAGCTCTTTGTACAGTATAAATGCAAATCTCTCAGAGTGAAATACTTACTCATGCTCCTCAAACCTGAACAAACCGTTCTCTCCATAGGCCCCACGCCTATCTTATACCTTAACTACACACAGTTCACAAGATGCAAGAGATGTGTTTTTTCAATTTTTATTTATTTTATTTGTGTGCTACTGGTGTGGCGCTGTGGGCTAATGTGTCAGACTGCAGTCATTTGAACTGCAAGGTCAGTGGTTCAAGCTCACCAGCTGCTCCTTGGAAACCCTATACAGGGTCACTATGAGTCGGAATGAACTCAACAACACTTAACAACAACAACAACAACAACAACCACATTAAGACATGTTACAGTCGTCTTGTCAAAACTATCTACCTATTGGTCCTTCCATTTCCAATTTAATTGCGTTTAACCCACATGAGCCAGACTGTCTGTGCAAAATACAGATCTGGGTCTGGCATCTCTATGCACAAAACAGAACACTTCAATGACTTCCCATCAAACTTGGGTCAAAAGTCCAAATCCGTGGAATGACCTTCAGAGGTCCTCTGTGCCCTTTCCTGTAGCCATCTTGCCAGCCCCTATGTCATAGGCTCCAGCTACCATGGTCTTCGCTAACTTTTCAGAAGATCCCACAATTCTCTTGGCTCTCTCCTTAGGTAGGACAACACACCATAACTGTAGACAACACTGGTGGCCATAGGCTGTGCCCACTATCTAGACAGACAGGAGGTCATTAGACAAAGACAGCTAACATGGATAATCAGAACTGACCACACAGCAACACAGAGAAAGCAGCTTCTGTGACTCACAAGAATCAGATAGAAATCTTCGGTTCCAAATAGAAATCTTCGGTCCCAAGCAGTCAGACCTCAAAAGATGATCATTCTGGCTCATACACCTCACTTTGTGACATGGGTGAGGTACTTAAATGGGTCTCGTCTCCCCCAGCCCAGTAGGAGGACTGTAAGCTTATGCTGTAAGTGCCCTGCCTACACCATAGTTGAAGAGACCAAGAAAATGTCCTTTCTCACCTTTTGTCTCCTGCTAACAAGCAGCAACCTCGGGAAGGGAAAGGGTTGTTCTGAAGCCTCAAAATGCCATCAGGAAGTGGCATGAAGAAGATTTATGTCCCAAAGACTTGTCCTTCACACGTTTCTTCAGACCCATCCACCCTACAGGTCTTAATTTAAGTCGTGGTTACCTGCAGGGACCCTACTGGTCCTCTCGTCCCTGACAATTATTTTAGAGTTGTATCATCCTCTGTCTCTTCCTCAAAATCTTTTATTTTTTAATAGATAGTTCTTCTATTTTTAGTGACACTGTTCAGATCAAAACAGGCACCCATACAACAATTTCTGCACACGTGGGTTAGTGGCACATTTTTCTTTTTGTGTTAATCATCTTGTTGTTTCTACTCAGATTATTTCAACATTCTTAATTTAGACTCAGGACTCCTGGTGTGGTGCTGTAGAATCAGCACTGGACTGCAAACTACAAGATAAGTAGTTCAAACCCACCAGCTGGTCCTTGGAAACCTTATATAGGGTCACTATGAGCCGGCATCAACTCGGCAGCTTTTAACAACAAAATAATAACAGCAACTACTTACACTCACTGACCAGTAAACTTGTCATCTATGCTTTAGAGGATGGTTTAACGAGCTCTGGTGGTGCCGTGCTTAAGCATTAACCATAAGGTCAGTGGTTTGAACCGACCAGCTGTTCTAAAGGAGAAAGAAGAGGCAGTTGGCTTCCAGTCAACTTCCTGTACAAATTTACAGACTTGGAAATCCTATAAGCAGTTCTACACTGTCCTAAAAGGAATCCTAGTAGGGGAATAGATTACAAGCTGGGCTGCCAAGCACAATGTCAGCAGTTTGAATCTACCAGCTGCTACGGGGAAGAAAGATGAGGCTTTCTACTCCCGTGAAGATTTACAGCCTCAAAAACTCAATACAAGGACAGTGTGAGTTGAAACCAACTCAGCGACAGATGACAACCACCCCCACTACCCTATAGGGTCTCTATGAGTTAGAATTGACTCAATGGTAATGAATTTGGGACACTGACCATTCGGTCTCCTATAAGTAATTTTTTTAAGAGAGGTGTACTCAAGATATGTGTTCTTTACTAATTGAGTTACATT